CCCGTATAACTACTACCCATGAACATCCAAGTAGCCAACCCCAAAAACCCAAACTCTCAACTCAAGCTAAGAAGCTCGTCCACCGCGGGTGGCCAGTACATCACGGTGCCGATGAGGTACAGGAGAGAGCCCAGGAGGTAGAGAACGTGCTCCTCGTGGGCACGTTTTTCTTTGGTGCATTCAAAGGCGAGGCTCCAGGGTTTAGGGTAAACCCTAAACCCAAAACCCTAAACCCTAAGCAGTAAAAAAAACACAAATGTTAAAACAACTAGATCTATATCCGTTACAGATGGTGTGCCATCTACAACAACACAAGAGCCAACTAAGACTGTAACAATAACTGATGATTCAAGTCATGTTGATGTATCAACAAAGAATGAAAGTCAGTGCTTCATTCTATATTTGATTATTTAATATATACAATGATTCATTGATTTTACCTTGGAGACCATTCTTGAAATCAAAAGAAGAATTTTATGAATTAAACTACCTTTAATATATTTTGTATCAATATTATCAGATTGGATTGAATGATTTTAATAATGATGGCATTTTTTGAATGAATGATGGTACCTAAACCCTAAACCCTAAACCCTAAACCCTAAACCCTAAACCCCTTAGATTTGTTCAGAGTGTGCAGGGCTTTTCAGGTCTAGGCTGCAGCTCTGAACGTCTACGATGTTAAGACGCAAGCAATGACTGGAGCATTCTCCGGCGGGGGGGGGCTGTCTAAATTGGGGCACCCTTTGTGGCGCTTCCTATAATCATAAGATAAGGGTTTTCATATACCGTCTGGGGATTGAAGGGAACAGGGGGGGGGTTCCCTTTTCAGTGCAAGGTTCCTTGCTGCAGGGGAGAGGCCTCGTGACTCGGGACCATCAGCACACAAGAGTCCTAAGAACCTCAAGCCCCTCACAAAGAAACCGGTGACTATCATGTGTGAGGGTCCCTATCCTCCCTAGATAGCCCTTGGAGCGATGAGCAAAAGGCAACCCCCTCCCCCTAATTCCCGACTAAGAACCATATCCAGTGCAGGGTTTTGGGTTTACGTAGTGCTTCGGGCTCAGAATTTCAAACCCTAACCCTTTTGCAACTGGGCTTGCGGACTAGCCAGATCCAAGCAGCACTGAGCCAGCAGGCTTCACGAGCGCATGACTCACAGAAAAAAGACCCTCACAAGGAGGACTGACTCAAACCCTATTATAAACCCTACACCCTAAACCCTAAACTCTAAACCCCAAACCCTAAACCCTAAGCCCTAAACCCTAAACCTCCAAGTAGGGGGCAGCCGAGGATCCAGGGACTCGAAGGTAGCGATGTTGTCGTGAAAGTGCACCGCCTCGCACAGCGTGTAGAGGGTGATGGCGCTGTACATGAAGCTCCCGAGGATGAACCTCGAGTTTAGGGGGTCAGGGGCAAAGGGGTTTAGGGTTTAGGGTTTGTTGCCCTAACCCTAAACCCTAAACCCTAAACCCTAAACCCCTTATAGGCGGTTGTAGGAGCTTAGCGGGTCTCAGGATGGACCTCGAATTTGAGAACAAGGGTATAGTTACGTCTTCCGCCTTCGGAGGCCCCCAGTCTCAGGGTTCTGAAATCCCTCAAGGGGGGCCTTTTTCTGGAGGTTCTTTGGTTGAAGACCCGCTGTGAGAACGGGCTCAGGCCTGTGTAGGTTCTGTTTGGGTTTGGGGTTTGGGGTTTGGGGTTCAGGGTTCAGGGTTCAGGGGTTTTGTTCAGGCCGAGGAGTCTGGTCATGGGTAGGGAGTTTTGCATCTGTAGGTTACTAGCTTGGTGTCGTCGGCGGTGACAATAACACATCAAAGCTGCCGTCACACAAGCGACCCTAGCACCTATACCCCAAAGCCCCTGCCAGCCGAAGAGGGGCATGCTGCAGCCGAGCTTGAAGACGCCCATGTCGTGAGCGAAGGCAGGAAGGAAGCAGAAGCTACCTACCACCTCAGATGTCCGAGTCTGGGATGGCCCTTACCCTCCGAAACATATTCCTGAATATGATCCTGTGAAAACCCAAAAAGGGACTTTCTCAAAAATGTCCCACGGGGCTACCTAGGAGATTAGACGTGCCGTTTAGGCAATCTATAGAGAGCCCTTGCCTGCAGCCTTTCGCAAGGTTTGAATAGGTAGACCCCAACATCCGAGCCCCTGCCTCTTAGTAGGGAATGGGGAAAGTAGGTCTAGAATCCCTTAAAGGGTATACATCTTGGCTGCCCTCAGAAGGGTAGCTATAAATCAAATTTTTAGCTGCCTTATTAACCCAATAAACCCAAAAAGGCTAAGGACCAGGATCTAAAGCTACAGTAAGGCACCACTAAGACATAGGGGAAAAAGGGAACCCTTGGCAAGCCGCAAAAATGATGTTCGCCCCAAGCTCCAGGAACTCAATGGCGTAGGCGGCACGCGCATTCAATCTCACGCCGCGGCCTCCACGGGTGTAGAGCTGCGGGACTGGAGACTTTTGCGTGAGGTTTTCGGGTTTGGGGCTAGGGTTTAGGGTTAGGGTTTAGGATTTAGGGTTTAGGATTTAGGGTTTTAGGGTTTCGGGCTTTAGGTTCTACAAACCGGTTACATTCGCATGAGACTGGGGCTCGAAACCCAAAGCCTTCACAGAAAGACTTGGGCTTCTGGTCTTAACCTCGGTTGCCCAGCAACCCGGGGAATGACAAGGGTGTGGTTGTGCTTTTGGAATCTTTCTCTAATTATTCTCTTGTGGCTTGGTCCGAAAAAAGACGAGCTGCAGAGAGGTAAGTGGCTGACCCCATCCTGATGTCATGGTTTGTTACGCGGTACAAAAGATGCCCTGAGTGTCTAAGAAAGCCCTAAGTCAAGAGGCCCTCGGGGAGCCGCACCCGCAAACTTGAACTGTACCCGGACGGAGAGCCCAAATTATACCCCTCAATTGCGAATAGACCTCACTGATCCACAATGATCCACATGTTGACTTAAGGCAAGCAAGCGCATGTTCATTCAGGGTGTTGCGTATGGATTGATAGGAGGTTAGGTGGGCGGGGGTTCTGGTAGAAGTGGCCTTCAATTTCCTTCTCATCGTCCTTCGCGCCCGGGCGCACGAACGCAGCATTTCGAATACGCTCCAAGACCACGTGCGGCATGGCCACCCCTTCTTACCTGACTGCTGAACAGGCGAGGTTTGCCGAGGAAGCTGGGTTAAGGAATAAAAGCTAGGTTGCCCAGTAACCTAGGATGAAGAAGGGTGCCCTTCTTTGCTTAAAGGGGTTTATAAGGGAACCTAAACCTACCAAAAAGGGAATAAGGGTACTACTGGGCATCCTAGAAAGGGTACTGGGAGGTGTATTCCTTCACTAAGGGGGGAAACCCTAAACCCTAAACCCTAAACCCTAAACCCTAAACCCTAAACCCTAAACCCTAAGCCCGGACCCAGGCTTCACCCACACGCTTGGAACCTTGTAAGCCCTGTAGCTCAAGGAAGCTTCCGCTCCAGAGGCTCCAGGATCCTCGGGTTTAGGGTTTAGGGTTTAGGGTTTAGGGTTTAGGGTTTAGGGTTTAGGGTTTAGGGTTTAGGGTTCAATGTCCTAGCCAAGTCGTACGTCGTTTTAGCCAACAATCGTACAGCTTAACGCTTCCTGAGTGAATGGTCAGTACTCGACATGATGGTCCTTTCTTGGGCACCCTGCTGCCTGGGGGAGGGGCATGTTTTGCAGAGACCCAAGAAAGGAACCGAACACAGCTAAACACGAAAGCCTAAACCCTAAACTCTAAACCCTAAACCCTAAACCCCATCGGCCCGGAATCCCACACAGAACTTGCCTTCTTCCCTGAATCCCCAAGGACTCGCACCCAACCTGCCCAAAGGGTCCATATACCCAAAAGGGGCTCCTATGTAGTGTAGTAGTTTTAAGGAGACCACACAAATATATATATATATATATATAGACAGATAGATAATATACATATATATATACTATATCTGTATATACTATATATATACACTATATATATATATATACTCTATCATATGTATATATATATATATATATGCTAAATATTGTTGTATACGGCATGGGTACATGGACCCTTAGGGCTGCTGCCAAGCAGCCACATTGAATGGGACGCGTGTCCCGGCGGGAAGCTACCAGCCATGAAGCTGGTAGCCAAAACGGTCTGCGGTTTAGGGTTTACGGATTCTCCTAAACCCTAAACCCTAAGCCCTAAAGCCTAAAGCCTAAACCCTAAAGTCTAAACCTTAAACCCTGAACCTGATATAGGGTTGAAACCTCCGAGGTCTCAAGCCACAACAAGGGCAGGTGGGGTGCTAACAACCCCAACTGCTGCTTGGAGTTTACCTTAAGAAGCCAAAACCTACGTTTTTGTGGGTTATTACTCGGGATATCCACCCTTATGCGAACAGTCCTTTATAGGGATTATAATTGGGGGTACTGCAATCCCTAATAAGGACTGTTAGTATAAGGGGGAACATCCCAAGTTACTACTACAACAAAAAGGTAGGCTTTGGGTTCTTTAGGCAGGGTTTAGCTATGCAAACCAATTAGAGGGCCCTGTGATCTGGACTCTTCCTGCCATGGGGAATCTGAAGTGCCAGGGTTTGAGGTGGGCACCCTAAACCCTAAACCCTAAACCCTAAACCCTAAACCCTAAACCCTAAACCCTAAACCCTTGTCTGCAGATACACCAAGGTCTTCGGGGCTGTTTTTTTTGCTTTTCTTGGGGGGATGGCTGATTCAACTGAAGGTCTTTTTTGGAGGGTTCCCTTGCACAAAGTCTTCCATGAATACAAAGCTGCCGTATGAAGAACATTGGAAGTAGACCATGAACCGCTAATACTAAAATGAGGGTACGCCCCCTAGACACAAGAGTAAGCCTAGGAATAACAAGAGGTACCTCTTTTGGTACAAAAAGAGAATCTAAGCTGTTAAAAAAACAGGAATAAGGGCCCAGAGAGTCTCAGCCCACCTTACATCCCCCCAAAACCACACCATCCCGCATCTCTCCAGCGCACTCCCCGCTGCTTCCAGCACGGCTTCCTGGGTTTCGGGTTTTTTGGGTTTAGTTTAGGGTTTGGGCTCTTTTTTTGCCACCCGCCTAGCTGACACTCAGGCCACATTGCAGGGACTAGTTCCGGAATAGGGTTTGGGTTGAGGGTTGAGGGTTTAGGGCTGCGAAGAGGGTTTCGGGCTTGCAAAGGCATTTTGTGTTCAGGGCTTCTGGTGCGCAGGGCATTTAGTGACGTTGAAAACGTTTGTTTCGGACCTCAACTAGCCCTATTGTTCAGGGTGGTGACGCAGTCGGGCTGAACCCTAAACCCTAAACCCTAAATCCTAAACCCTAAACCCTGAACCTGCGGGCAGGAGGAAGCCATACGCGGAGTACCACTCCCGGGATCTTCAAGGCAAGGCTTGGGTTGCCAGAAGCCTGAAAGGGGCCAACGAAACGTCCGCAAACCTTTAGGGTTTAGGGTTTAGGGTTTCGGGTTTAGGATTTAGGGTTTCTGAATGTGGGTGACAAGACCCTCCTGAAGCAATGCGTCACGCCCTCTTTGCCACCCCTTGGAACGAACATACCCTCAAAAAAACGCTTCCTACCTTCCTTACCATCCCCTACTCAACCCCAACGGAAGGCAAAACGGCTTCTACTGGGCACCCTAACCCTAAACCCTGAACCCTAAATGGCCTAATCTCTCTCTCTCTCTCTCTCTCTCTAATAAACCCTAAACCCCCTAAACCCTAAACCCGAAAGGATCAGAGCACAGTCGCATCGCGGCGGCCCAGCCGCGCGAGGGCTGCGTAGGCTGACACCAGGGAGGCCACGTGGCGTGGGTCGGGGCCCAGCCTTCTGGGCTTTTTTTGGAGGGTTTGGGGGTCAAAAGGGTTTAGGGTTTAGGGCTTAGGGTGGGGGGTGTATAGGGTCCATGTACCCATTCTTCAATCCCTAAGGGTCCGTGTACCTCGAAAGCGCTTTGGGTTTGGGCTCGAAGGATTCATAACACCCATGTAGTCTATACTTGGGCCCTAACGCTACAATATGGGGAACCCCTGTAAGGCCCAAGGGGCCGCAGTATGTTTTTTGGGAAGAGGCTTGTGAATCAAGAAAAACAACGGTCTTTAGGCGGTATAGAGGAAGCCCTACACCCATCGTCCATAGACTCAGAAACCCATAAACCCCCCCGACCTTTTCTTACCCCTAAACCCTGGCCCACAAACCCTATAGTTTGCAAGATATTAGGTACACAGCGAGGCTCGCAAGCTTTTGCGGGGCTTCGGAGGAGTCCGGGTAGGGTTCAGTGTTGAGGGTTTAGGGCTTAGGGTTGTCTCTTTACGAGTTTCGGGTTTTGGGTCCCAGGGCTGTTGAAACCACTAGAACCTTCCAAGCCCTGACAAACCCCAGAACCCTAAGCTAGAACCTTATTACTATTTTTGAAATACTCCCTTGAGTTGTTTATGTAAACAAGTTTCCTAAGCGGGCGACAGTAAGCCCGAAGTCGCTCCCTTCTGGGGCCACTGCGCGCTCTGCGGAGAGCCCCGCTGGGAGAGGCTCTGCAGGATGTGCTGCCGCAACGTCGGTGGGACCTTCAGGGAGAAGTTCTCATAGGTTCCCTACCACCCCCCCCCCTTTTTTCTAACCCTTCTAGCTCCCCCCCATAATTGAGGCTGTTTAGGGATAATTGGGGAACCCAGGGGGGGTAGGAAAGAGGGTGGGGGGGGGGAGAGGGAACCTATACGGTTCGGATGCCAAACACCCGAGCAACCCAGATTTAGCAAAATTCGCTGCGCAGCTAAGGAATGTTCGCGAAATTATGCGGGGGGTCTTCTTATGACCAGGGTCTGGGGCATTTAGGTTGATTAAGCTACGTATGCTTTGGAAGATCTGCTTGGGGTTGTAGGCAAGCTTTACGGTGGCGGTGTTTGGGACTGTTGTCTGGAGACGCGTGCGGCCCCCCCCCCCCCCCCCCCACACCCTAAACGCCCTAAACGCCCTAAACGCCCTAAACGCCCTAAACGCCCTAAACGCCCTAAACGCCCTAAACGCCCTAAACGCCCTAAACCCGAAACCCGAAACCCGAAACCCTAAACCCTAACCCTAAACCCTAGACCCAAGACCCAAGACCCAAGACCCTAGACCCTAGACCCTGAACCCTACCCTACACCCTCGCTGGCCTCAGGGCTGCTCAGCCGGGCTAGGCCACCCAGCCCCTGAGCAAGGTCGATGAGTCCTGGGAGCTGTTTCGGGTTTAGGGTTTAGGTTTGGGGGTTTAGGGTTTTAGGGTTAAACCCTAAACCCCAAACCCTAAACCTACGGTGACGCTTTTTAAACTCCCGGACATTTAGACAGATAAAACAGATACCGCATACTACCCCCGAGTCAGGTGTCAAAGGGCCGCCAGACTAAAAAACATCTGAACCCTAAACCCTAAACCCTAAACCCTCCAACCTTCTTTGCCGAAAGCTCCGTTCCCGGCTTTCTTCTCCGACACTGGACAAGTCTTCTCCTTCCGGCCACCAGCCTTGTAAGGCTTTTTCTGTAAGAAACAGGCCACCCTAAACCCCAAACCCTAAACCCTAAACCCTAAACCCTAAACCCTAAACCCTAAAACCCTAAAACCCTAAACCCTAAACCCTAAACCCTAAACCCCTAAACCCTAAACCCTAAACCCTAAACCCTAAACGAACATCGAATCGTGTCACCTGCGGTGGCAAGTTGGTGAGCAGTGCGCTCGACCGGCTCAGAAACTCTGAGCTCGTGTTGGGCCACTGGTCTGGACGATGAGTAGGGTTCAGGGTTTAGGGTTTAGGGTTTAGGGTTTAGGGTTTAGGGTTTAGGGTTTAGGGTTTAGGGTTTAGGGTTTAGGGTTTAGGCTTTGGGGTTTAAGGGTTTAAGGGTGTAGGGTTCAGGATGTAAGGGTTTAAGGGTTTAGGGGTTGGAGGTTTAGAGGGTTGGAGGGTTGGAGGGTTTAGGGTTCAGGGTTTAAGGGTTTAAGGGTTTAAGGGTTTAGGGGTTGGAGGGTTAGAGGGTTAGAGGGTTGGAGGGTTGGAGGGTTGGAGGGTTGGAGGGTTGGAGGGTTGGAGGGTTGGAGGGTTGGAGGGTTGGAGGGTTGGAGGGTTGGAGGGTTGGAGGGTTGGAGGGTTGGAGAGATTTAAGGTTGGAGAGGGCTTAGAGTTGGAGGCGGCTTGGGGTTGGAACCCTAAACCCTAAACCCTAAACCCTAAACCCTAAACCCTAAACCCTAAAGTGGGCTTAGGGTTGGAGGCTTAGCAACCTTAAGGTTGCCGAGGCCTTGGGCCTTTTGGTAATTGTCGTCCCCGGCCCTAAACCCTAAACCCTAAACCCTAAACCCTAAACCCTAAACCCTAAACCCTAAACCCTAAACCCTAAACCCTAAACCCTAAACCCTAAACATCCGTAGCCTAAACATCCGGAATAAAACTGGTGCCTCATACTGCCTCCGATTGGAGTTGTGCATATTTTTAAAGTTGTCACCGTAATCTTGGGCCCCAAGCCTCCCCAAACCCTAAACCCTAAACCCTACACCCTAAACCCTACACCCTAAACCCTAAACCCTAAACCCTAAACCCTAAACGCTAAACCCTAAACCCTAAACCCTAAACCCAAAACCCTAAACCTGGCCGAAGGAGCCGAGACCCAACGCCGCTGACGCAAAGGCGGGCGCGGCGGCCTCTTGGAAGCTTCCGGAGTTTGGGGTTTGGGGTTTAGGGTTTGGGGTTTAGGGTTTAGGGTTTGGGGTTTGGGGTTTGGGGTTTGGGGTTAGGGTTTAGGGTTTGGGGTTTAGGGCTTGGGGTTTAGGGTTTAGGGTTTAGGGTTTAGGGCTTGGGGCTTGGGGCTTAGGGTTTCCGCTTCCTTGACCTTCAGCGCGCTTAACCCCTTAAACCCTTTAAGCCCCCATAATTTCCTCAACCCTCTGGACTCCTAAACCCTACAAATACCCTTCCCTAAACCCCTAGCCCTGGACCATTAAACTCTGAAGCCTTCTGACTTTTTGGCGAAGGAACGAGGTCTTTGCCTGGCGAGAAGTAAACCCCGAGCCCTAAACCTGAAACCCTAAACCCTAAACCCTAAACCCTAAACCCTAAACCTGAAACCCTAAACCCTAAACCCTAAACCCTAAACCCTAAACCTTAAACCTTAAACCCTAAACCCTAAACCTAAGACCCTTCAAACTTGACCCTCTTTCGGGTTGAGGGTGCAAGGGCTCCCCACTGCTCCCCTCTGAGTCCCAAATCCCCTATTCAACTCGGTCTCCTCTCCTGCTTGGAGGTTCATGGTACTTGGTAACTACTTCTAGGGTTTAGGGTTTAGGGTTTAGGGGTACTTAGTAACTACTTATGACTGTACTTATGACCCACTTGTAAGCCCCTTCAGTGCCCTAACATGGTTGTAAGTACAGTTATAAAAAAAGAGCCTCCACGTGTCAGCTGGGGGACGTGGCCCAACCCCTTTTCGAAGAGGGCAACCCCTCGAAACCTGAACCCATGCACCAGGAAAAAAAAACTAAACCCTAAACCCTAAACCCTAAACCCCCTAAACCCCCTAGAACCCCTAGAAGCCCATAAACCCTCAACCCTAAGCCCCACTAAGCCCTTCTTGATGCATGGACTTGAAGGCATCCCTCAGTCCCAAGACCTCCCAGGCCTAATTCAAGGGATTCAGACTCATACCCCAGGGTTTAGGGTTTAGGGTTTGGGGTTTAGGGTTTGGGGTTTAGGGTTTGGGGTTTAGGGATTAGGGTGTAGGGTTTAGGGTTGAGGGCTGCAGCTTAGCGGCCCGCCCCGCCGCGCGCCAGGTCTCCGAACAGGAAGCCGCCTGGACTTCCCAGAGAGCCCCTAAACCCTAAACCCTAAACCCTAAACCCTAAACCCTAAACCCTAAACCCTAAAACCCTAAACCCTATAAACCCTATAAGCCCTAGAAACCCTATAAACCCTAAACCCTATAAACCCTAAACCCTAAATTCCCCTCAATTAGGCCATATACCTTGAATCATAAGAGGGATCCGAATATGAATGTAAGGAAGTTGCCTTAATTAAGCCATATACCTTAAACCATAAGAGGGATCCGAATATGAGTTAAGGCATATTGCTTGATTAAGGGGTATTGGGCTCTTTGGGTTCTTGAAGGCGAGCGACTTGGTAGCCTGCATATCGTCAATTCTCTAATTTCCGTCGGGGACAACATGAACCCCTAAAATATTCGGGTAGTTACATGAGCATGGGCCCTTGTAAGAGCAACCCAAGCAGGATCGTATGGTCAGTTCTCTACCTAAGGGTCTTGATATACCCTAAACTATGGGGGGCTGCCTTATACAAGGGAGGGGGTTATCACACATCAGGCCGTGAAAATACACATCACCCCAATGTGGACGCTCATGCAAAGACTTACCCATCACGCGAGAGAATACACATCACAAGATACGAAACCCCAATGTGGACGCTATTTTTGGCTGTCAGCCACGGAGACCTCACAATCCACCCGACCTCGCGGACGCTTATGTTTCGGGCCATTTTTACATCAATCTGGCATACGTTTTGGCAGCAAATCCCGAAGGAGACGCTCGGTTTGTGTCAGCATACGGAACGTTGATCTTCGAAGCCTTTACTGGCCTTACACACCTGAGACCCGCAGCTGCTCAAGTGCACACTGCCTGCCTGCTGCCTGCTGCATGTGTCTGGCGACCAAACCCTGCGACCGAGACCGGTTTTGATATAGAAAAAGTGCATTAGACCAGCTAGCACGGAAACGTCCTGCCAACTGCCTTAAACAAACTTGAAGCCGTGGTGGCAGCTTGGATCAGTGCCAAGTCTTGTCCAAAATGCAAACCCAATGTGGAGATTTGACGCAGGCGCTTCCTCCGACCATGGGCATGGGGTGGTTTGCATGCCAGACCCCATTGTGGACGCTGCATAGGCTGAAAACTGGACGGCTAGGATCAGTGCCGGGTCCTGTGCGGGACCTGCAAGACCCCAGTGTGGACGCCGAACGATGTGTATTTACACCACGCGATGTGAGATAACCCCCCCCCCCAGTAGCACCCCCATATTTTAAATAAATGACCTATTATAATAAGGGATTCTGAGTATAGGAGAAAAAGAGTAGAATGAACCCCAAAAAAGGGCCTGCCTACTTCGTAGCCCAGCAACTATATGAAAATAAGGATGCCCCAAAACCCAAAACCCTAAACCCAAAACCCTAAAACCTAGAACGAAAAAGAAGCGAAAGGGCACCCCTCAGGGCTACCAAGGAAAGAGGGATTCGGGTTTACCTGAAGGACCCGGAACCTACTTTGTTGCAGGTTGTTAGGATATAAAGCCCCTTATAGGATTTTTTTCGCAACCTACAAAAATGCAGGTTTTGGGCTCTTCAGGTAGGATTTTCTGCAAGCAGGTAGGGTGTAGGGTTTACAGGTGTCTTTTGATATATCACAGTAGTAAGAGGGACTCTAATGTTTGGAGCCTTGCTGCGAACAGCGCGCCTTAACACCAGGAAGAAAAAAGACACATGCCCAGAGGGAGCCTTATGCACCTTCAAAACTTGAGGAGTAGATCTTACATAGCACCCCCCATCACATTTTCAGGCATCCTTCCCTGACTTCGGGATATGGGACCCAAAACTGACTTCGGGATATGGGACCCAAAACCCAAAACCCAAAACCCAAAACCCTAAACCCTAAACCCTATCCCTAAACCCTAAACCCTAAACGCTAAACCCTGGCTCCTTTTGGGAGTGCTCGGCATGCTTCCCACCTCCTTGCTGCGTCTGCGTTGCCGGCCCGCCTGTGCCAAGTTTTCGGAGCAGGGGTTTAGGGTTTAGGGTTTAGGGTTTAGGGTTTACGGTTTACGGGGGGGGGGGGAGGATTCACGGATCCATGCTGTTCAGGGAAATGTGGGCGAATCGGCAAGGGGTTCCGAAAATAAGGGCATCGTATACGAAGAGTACCTCGCAATTTGGGGAAATGCCTCGACCCATGACAAGACGACATTCTGAATGCACCTTCCTGAACAGCAACCGAGACTGAGTCTGGCTTTCCCTACATGAAGGAGATAACCCGAAACCTTAACACCCTAACCACCCTAAACCCTCAACCTCAAACCCTAATCACCCCAATCATTGGGCCCCAATCACCCTAAACCTTGAAGCTTAAGCACCCTATTTAATCCCTAAACGCAAAACCTTGACGCTTAACAACCGTATTTAATCCCTAGAGCCTAAACCCTCAACTACCCTAAACCCTAAACCCTAAACCCTAAACCCTAAACCCTAAACCCTAAACCCTAAACTACCTAACCCCAAACATCGACTCCCAGGTTCGGGCTTTGGGTGTGCGCAGGGGGCAGGTCATGGGTTTGGAGCTTAGGGTCTTCAAGTTTGGGTGGGGGAGGGGAGGGAAGAGGCGGGTGGGGGGGTGCGGGCGGGGGCCCGGGGGGGGGGGGGGGGCAAGGACAAATAAAGCGACTCGCGCACCGCAAACAAGCAACGGTCCTAACACAGCCATCAGAAACGCAACAGCCTTGCCCCAAGAAGCTCCAAAGCCCGTAGAAGCCAAGCAACTGCCGCAGTTAAGCCTCAACTTGAGAGGAAAGCTTAGTGTTTAGGGTTTAGGGTTTGGTGTGCTTGGCGGTACGAGATCCAAGATTCTAGTTCCGAGCCCAGTCAAGATGCCCAAGCCCAATAACCCCTGCCCTGAACCCTAAACCCTAAACCCTAAACCCTAAACCCTAAACCCTAAACCCTAAACCCTAAACCCTAAACCCTAAACCCTAAACCCTAAACCCTAAACCCTAAACCCTAAACCCTAACCCTAAACAGCACTTCAGCGCGGCCGATGGTTTTTTGCGAACGCGCTAACGGACTCAGGATGGCCCCCGGTTTGGCGCTGTAAGTGGTTCCAGAAGGGAATCGCTTCAGGTGAACAGGTTTAGGGTTTAGGGCTTAGGGCTTAGGGCTTAGGGTTTAGGGTTTAGGGTTTAGGGTTTAGGGTTTGAAAGCCACAACACAAAACGAAGTGTCCTGCGATAGCTTATCCCTTGCCAATCAAGGCATTCAAGAGCAATCGCCCTCCCGCCATGTACAGATGATGCTATTGATCATCAGAGCTGCAGTTGATCATCAGAACCCCGGAGCAAATCAAAACCTGAATGGAAGTGCATCCATTCCTCCCTTCCCCCGACTATTACAACCCCCCTTAGAGTTCTATTACAGTATCCGAGGGGGTGTATTTAATATTGGGGGGGGGGGGGGGGGGGGGGGGTTAATGTTACATGGAGGTTCATGGTACTTAGTAACCAATTATGGCTGCACTTATAACTGTACTTATAACCATATTAGGGCACCTCAGGGGCTTCTAAGTGGGTTATAAGTACAGTCATACTTAGTTACTAAGTACCATGAACCTCCAAGTAGGGGCAGGAGATTACAGACATCTTTGCTGGCGACCCCTCTCACCATGATGTTTCTCCTTTCAATGCTTGCACAGGGCACAAACTATCCTTGGAAGCCAAAGCAAGCCACACCCCAAGCCTGAGACAAAAAAAACCCAAAACCCAAAACCCTTTTGCAACTGGGACTTGGTGATGGCCAGAAAGGAACCCCCACTTCACACACCCACAAACTGCAGCACCGGCCCTAAACCCTAAACCCTAAACTCTAACTCTAAACCAAGAAGCTGAAAAGGCCTCAGAGCCAACCGGGACATGTCAGGGTTGAAATCGGTCTAAACTGGCTTAAAGCTTTTGATAATGACGCGGGGTCAGAGTTTCAGGGTTTAGGGTTCACGGTTCAGGGTTTAGGGTTTAGGGAAGCCCAGAAGCTGGTCGGCTTGTGACGAACGCCTGAACTGGGTAAGGGGGGTGCTACGAGGTTCTGCGCAATTCGCAACCCTAAAGTCCTAAATCTCTCCGCGGGCTCTTCCCCAAAACAAAACCTACTTGGCCCAATGCGTTGTGCATTCCAGGCCCGGTGGCTTGTTGCAAGTCCAGTCACCTTCGCTTCTCTCACATGTACTTGTCCTCCCCATCCGCCAAGGCTCTGGCTACCAAGTCTGGGTAGTGCTTGGCTAGGTACTGTGCAATCTTCAGCATGGCGGCCCCCGGATCGTTGCCCTGCGCTGTTCGCACGATCCACTCCAGATACCCGGGATCCATCTCAACAAGCTCTGGAATGGTAGCTCCTGTGCCCCTGTACTTTTTGAGGTTGATCACTGGCTCCGCATCTGCGACCTCTGGAGCGTGCTTCTTCACATAGTCGGCAATCTTCTGCATCTCTGGTGATGGGTCCGGGAGCTGCACTGCCCACTGGCAGTACTCGGGATCCTCTTCTGGCAACTGCGACATCATCTTACCCCGATGTTTGGTGCCGATCGAATTTCGAAGTCATCTGCGTTCATACCGGGGCGTGCAATGGAAAACGTACTGGGGGCCAACCCATGGAGTGCCAGGTAGGCGCAGCACGATGCGAGGATTAGCTTCGACGGCGCAGTCCTCATCTTGGTCATCGCTGTGTCCCGCAGGCAGCGCACGAACCGCAGGAAGTGCTGGCTAGGAAAACGACTGCGCGAAAGGCATGCTATTCAGCTGCTATTCAAGGGCTTTTTGGCTTAGGCTCATGACATTCAACAAGTCGCCTCATTGGCTTCAATCAAAAGAACCTTCCTCTATGGTTTGAACCTGGTTCTTACAAAGGTAATTAAACCCCTAAACCCTAAACCCTAATTCATTTTGTCTGCTTCCACCAATCCCACAGCAATACGCAGAAAAAACACACAACAACACACGAAACTCCCGTGTTATCCCACACCCCTACACCCCCAAAACATTCGCGAAGCCTCTTGCACACCTCTACACCAAAGCACCTTCAGGTGGCAGTTCAGGGTTTAGGGTTTAGGGTTCACTGGTCCTACATGTAGCACGGCACCCTTATAAATCTCAGGGAAGTTACGTGGTCCCTTAAAAGGGGCCGTTGGAAGGGGACCCCTTATATACCCCTTATATGGCCCATGCATCAGAACCCTTGGGAGAAGATAAGGAACCACACTAGGGACCCTGTAACTACCCTAAGATGTAAAAGGGTTTAGGGTTTAGGGTTTAGGGACCCCAAAAGGGACCCCTGGCTAGAGAACGACCCAAGTGCACGCCTCACCCCGCGAAGCCAGCTTGCCCAGGCTGTCGAGGAGATGTGCAGCTGCTGTCGCCTGCTCAAAGAGCCCAATACCCCTT